AATCTTCTTTCTTTCTTGGAATTTCTGAGGGTTTTTGGTGGAACCCTAGGATTTTCTAAGTTGTGATGGAATTGAGGTTTTTGACCGATTGTTTTGAGTTTAATTGATTGCTTGGGGTTAGTTTAAGTATTTAATCGGTGTAGTTTCCTTGGATTTAAAGAATCTTGAATTTTTGGAGTGGAGATAGATGATTTGGGATTGAGGATGATAATATAGAGATTGATTTTGAGTTTTGTGAATTGGGTTATGTTAAGGAGGGTTAAATTGGATGTTTAATCGGTTTAGATTTGTTGTTGGAGCCTTAATTGCTCAAATGGGATGTTGGAGGTTGAATTCCTATAGTGGGTCCTTGAGGTTTGAACTTTAATTGATGTTTGGAAAGGAATTATGGTTTTAATGGGTTAGTATGACTTTGGAGTGTTGCCTTGATAGTTATACCCTTTGAGTTGGGTAGAGTTTTGATGGGAGATAGGAATTTTGTGTCCCCAAGTATTGTTTTGGCCACATTATTAGTTTGAAAGCTAATATATGATGGTTGTGTGTTTGTGTGCTTGTGTAGACCGGTTGTGAGTCGTGGTGGTGCACGGGGCCACATTGTCGGTTTGTTATTCCTTGCTCAGGCGAGAGGTAACCACTTTCCAATCCTTAGTACTTGCTTCTATAGTATTGTGAGTAGATTTATGTTTTGTGCTCTAAGTAGTAATTATGTTCAAACTGTATGTTGTGTATAAAAAGGAAAACCGTCTTGTGGGGTTTCGACTAATGATGAATGAATTTTGGTATTGTGAAAGATATGCCACTGAATGAGGTTAATTGTGAAATGATTATTACTCTTTGATTATGATTTAAGCATGATGCATTAATTGGGAATTGGTGAGAGTTTTGTCTGTTACTACCACGTGGTAAGACCTCCATTAATGCATGATGGTTGGCTTAGTACGTCCCCCATAGTGAGGGATAGGCCTTTTGGCTCCCTACGTCCCCCAGAGTGAGGGATAGGCCTTTTATGGCTCCTTACGTCCCCCATAGTGAGGGATAGGCCGGCTTCGGCTCCTGAAAATCCCCCAAAGTGAGGGATTTGGTTAAGGGGATTTGCATCATTTCACTCGCATGATTTATTGTGGCTATCTTGTTATTATATTACTTGTGAACTGCCCCACTTGACACCTCACGAGCACCTATTTAGTAGTACCTAGTATTGGAAAGGTTGGTTACTGGGACTTTGTCTCACCCCGTGGTTTACAATGTTTTCAGGTGAAGGTTCCAGGCGTGCGCCTTCGGGAAGAGACGCAGAGGCTTAAGCTTGGTTAGCTTTAGGCCTCTAGCCTTTGTTTATGTATGAATATGTTGTATATTGCCACAATTAGGGTCCTTTTGAAATATTTTGATTACCCGGCCTTGTTGTAAATTGGGGAAATGTTTTCTCCTTATTTTAGTTGGTCGGAGGCCATTCTTATTGCTTTGTGAGACTTTGTTATACATGGTTGAAAATTAATTGGATGGGCTGATTTTGATGTCTGTTGTTACCCGGGCCGGAGACTCGGAGGCCCAGTGGTTGTGAATGATTGATGTTTAATGAATGATGTTAGTTGCATGCAACAGAGTTCGAATTTGAACTGAGTGTAAATGCTAATTTCTAAAGTTGGGCAAATTTCTTTCTACTATGGTAGTTTGTTGTAACAGCTTTCCTTTTCTACCATAGTAGTGGTTTTTTTTTTTGTGATGAGCTAAAGTGTTTTGAGGTTAGGTTCTTTACAATTTGGCCTAGGAATATCACGTGTCTCAATTGGAATCATGAGTTTGCCAAAAAAAAATTCTTGAGTTAAGAATTAAAAAGCCATCCTCCACATATGCAACCATAACAGTTCCAACCTGAATGAAGTGAGTTGTTCCTATGACAAAGCAATAAGTATCATGGTTAGTTTTGCACATGTAGAACATTAAAAACTCAAAATAAAGCATAACTTCAGTTGTTATACCAGTAAATATAAAATTGCTACAATCAACTTGTAAATGCATTAATATTTCTTGTAAATTGTCTAAATTTGATTGTTACACAACAAACATGAATGTACTATCGTTACTTTGTAAATGCACTAATTATTGTTGTAAAATTGCCTAACTTCACTGGTTATACTAGTAAACATGAAATTGCTAGAGTCAACTTATAAATATAATTAATTCTTGGAGTGAATTTTCTAACTTCACATGTCACATGAGCAAGTGTACTTGTTAATTTCCTTTACTTCAATTATTAATACCAGAGACATGCATCAGCAAGACTCATAAAAACTAGAAATTACAAAACATACAGAAAGCACAAAAAGACATTGAGAATAGCATAGCAGTGACTATTGTTACTAACAAATGTCAATGACCAACCGAAAAGAGTGAACAAAATCAAATTAAAAAAAATAAAGCTCCAAACTTAAACCTCAACTCTTTTAACACGTGCATATTCCAATTAAATAAAAGTAACCATTGGTTCTTTGAAATCAGTCCAATAGAAACACTATTGATGAAAACAAGAGACGAGATTTTTAGCAAGAGCGTGTGAAAAAAATGCAAATAGAAAAAGTGTATCTAAACATAGAGTAGCAAAAATATTGTTGGGAGATGAGATTTATGTCGAGAGAACACAAACAAGCATAGAGAATATGAGATAAATGTTAACAAATATGACTACACTAGTCATTAGAAATGAGAGAATGCGAACTAAAAACGTTGAGAGAACAGAGCAGAAAGAATGCAAACCAATTTTTATGTGAAAGAGAAAATTTGCTTTCTATTATGAGAGTAAAACCCTATCAGACTATTTTCTTTTTTTTTCCCCTTCAAACATTAAAGGTAACCTGAACATTTTACTTCTCAATATAATTTCATTTTTTTTTTTGCTAAAAGACTGTAGTGAAACTTTAAAATTGTTTGGTGGTGAGTGGAAATTATGTTGATAGAGGAGTCCTTTAATAAAATTTTCCCATTAAAAAAAAATGTTATCCACACTTTAAAGACGTCGTACACAATTTGCATATGGAGATTGAAATGCACGTGGGCGGCCGGAATTATTTTGATGTACAGGATCGATCAATTATTGTAAATAATTCCACCCAGGTCATGCTGTCATAGGCCGAGTGAAGTAACACTCTACTTTCAACAACCATTACACAGAGGATCTCTCGTTCCAGAACTTTAACCATATCCGTCGTCACTCATCATGTGCCACTTCTTCACGCAGACTGCCTTCGGGCGCACAACTTATTGAAGCATTTCTTTGATTTAATTTTTTTAAATTAATTTTTCTTCTTTAAAATAATTTAATAAATATATTTGTGAACTAAATATATCCTTCTAATTTTTACTAAGTACTGGAAATATGGAAAATAAATACTTGAAAATATAAAATATGCGTATTGAAAAAACTCGCGCACGAAAATTTTAATTCCAACTAGGTATCATGATTCTTTTATGAAATTTTAAAATTTTTAACTATAATTAATATTTTTGAGGATTCTTAAATCTCTGTAAGCAACTTCAATTTTTTCCCTCTTAACCAAATGAAAGGAGGCAGACTATGGATCTTATATGTTATTTATAATTGAAAAACTACCATTTTCATTTTTGTTAGTTGTTTTGTCTTTTTTTTTTTTGACCTGATAGTTGTTTTGCCTTTGGCTTGATACAGTTTGGGGTTTTTGGTTTTTGTGACAGCAGTTTGGAAAATCTAGCAACACTGTCTATTGCCTTTTGAAAAGGATGGAAACGACGCCGCTTAGTGGCAGCAGAGGGCCGCAGAATGAAGAATAGAATTTTCTCCCCTGCTTAGCCCCCGCTGCTCGTCCTTTGCCTTTAAACTTTGCCGTTTGGAGAGAAAAAGGACCATAGGAGAAAACAAGTGCGCAGACGCGATTGGAAATTTCCAGAACATGGCTAACAGTTTTGGAATAAAAATCTAACAATATTAAGGTTTAACAAAATATAGCAATTTAATTTTTATTAGTTTATTACATTTCATCCAATCCCACCACACTCCACTAACAATATTTGAGATTCTAAATTTTAAAATCACAATAATTTAAGAACTAATTAGAGGGAAAATTTTTATATCCAGTATTTTTAACTAAATTTATAATTTTAAATAAAGGAGGTGGATGTTAAACGTTTTTAATTTGGGTTTTATTTTTATTTTAAATTTGTATGTTATAATATTTTTAATAGCTAGATTATGAAAGTTGTGCTTCCAAATAACTTATGAATGTGAGTTTTATAAATTTTTAGTTATAATAAGAGAATTGAATTAAAAATGTCAGAGAATTCAAAGTTCAAGGGAGAGAAGCCGAACCCCAAAAAAAAGAACTGATTCACATAGACACATGCAAGCCCTCCATTGAATTAGTATATATTTCTCCTCATTTTGCAGTATAAACTAAACTACCAAATGAGTCTTACATTTTAAACCAAAAGAGTATAAGAAGCCCAATAATGTTGAGAAAAATACTCAAATGATATAGTAGCTGGCAGGATACTAATTAATTAAACCAGTTGTTACAGAGACTTTCAGGGTAAATTTATTAACCATGGGTCTGCTTAGAATAGTTTATAAATAACTTTTTAATCGTGATTTATAGAATACGAGATAAGTATATGAGAAGAGTTTTGTCTTGACTTACGTGAAACATGCTTATAAGTGATTACTATTTTATGCCAAACAAAGTCTATATATCACAATACACGCGCACACAGACGTATTTTATTAAGTAATTCTTCGTCTCCTCTTCTAATTAAAACGAAAAACAGCAAGTCGATCTAACCTCAAGTTTTCTCGTGAAAATCTAACAAGGTTGTCATCAAAATTCATCTTCTCAATTCTGTAACAGGTAATATTTCAAGTGACATGTGTAACTAAACTTTCATTTATTTGTACAAACCACGTCATCTAGAACATGATCCCACACAAAATCTTAGGAAGGAATGGCCGTGTATCAATATGATTGGCTAGCTAATTAAAAATTAACACAGCACAAATGATTTATTATCACAGCACCAAAAGTGAACTCTCAGGAAGTATAAATTGTTCTCTCCCTCTAGCCATTATATTTCCACTTAAATCATGCAAATCTAAGACGTTGTGGGCTCCAATGTGTTGCCAATGTCAATCACAAAACGATATTTGACGTCAGCTTTGAGGAGACGTTCCATTGCAGTGTTCACATAATCCACTGGAATAACTTCTATGTCAGGTTTCACGTTGTGCTTGGCAGCAAAATCCACCATGTCTTGCGTTTCCTTCAGCCCTCCCACAGAACTCCCAGCCACCATCTTTCTCCCTGCCAATATATATGTATTTATTGTTGAAACATTAGTAAGCTTCACACATTTATTCTTATCTTCAAAACATGATAAGATATGGTAATTATTTTCTTACCCACAAGTAAAGGGATCACCGGCAGCTCCTGAGGCTTTTCAGGTGCACCCAGCAATACAAGTTTCCCATTAGACTTCAACAGACCAATCAAAGGCCCAAGAGGATGCTGTGCAGAAACTGTGTCAATGATCCCATCCAAAGTTCCCATCGCAGCCTACACAGACATATGCAAGTGACCATAGAATTATTTTACAAGGTCTGATTTTTCTCCTGACTATTCAGATATGCACAGATATATACAACTACCATCATATACGCCAAGCGCATTTGTAAGAGGTACCGTACCTGCATCTGATCTGGCTCGCGGCTGACAATAAAGGAGTCAGCTCCGAGATGTTCAATGGCTTCCTTCTTTTTGTTAGGAGATGTACTGATGACAGTGACCTTAGCCCCAAAAGCTTTGGCGAACTTGACAGCCATATGGCCAAGGCCGCCAAGACCAACCACACCCACATGAAGGCCTCGCTTGTCTAGACCAAAGTACCTCAAAGGGCTATAAACTGTGATCCCAGCACAAAGCAGAGGAGCCGCAACATCAAGAGGCAAAGCATCTGGAATACGAACCACAAAGTGTTCGTCTGCAACCATAGAGTCCGAGTAGCCTCCATGTGTCATAGTCCCATCCACATACTTTGAACCAGAAGTAAATATTTGCTCTGAGCATTGATTCTCGAGGTCGTCAGAACAGCTTTGACAGGAGCGGCAGGATCCAACCATGTATCCAACACCAACCTTGTCTCCAACTTTGAATTTTTCAACCTTGCTTCCCACCTCTGTCACCACACCAGCAATCTCGTGCCTGAATTAGCCAATATTTGCAGTAGTTAGAATGAATAATCAACCTTGACATTCATAGACTACCAGTTATAAATTTTATCAGAGAGAGTGGATACACACACACACACACACATACCCAGGTACAAGGGGATAGGCGGAGATGCCCCAATCGTTCTTGAGCATGTGGAGGTCGGTATGGCATATTCCACAATACATCACCTTGAATCTCACATCTTTCTCTCCGGTTTCTCTGCAGAAATGAAACGGTTGAATTTAGCGACAAACATAACGGAACAGAGACCAAAAGCGATCAGCATTATAACGAAACACGGATGGATGTGTATATCTAAGACACCTTCGAGAGAAGTTGAAAGGGGAGAGAAGGCCAGATGCGTCTCTAGCTGCCAATCCGAAGGCCTTCCTTGGATGCTCAAACTCAGGTCGTACTGCCATATTCGAATCTGTGATATCTCTGTATCAGTCGCGCTCGTAAAGACAAGAAGGTGTAGTAGAAAAAGAAGTGGACGGGGGATGAGGCGCGAGGAATAAGAAGCGAGAGTTTGGAGAGTACAAGAAAGCAGACATGAATGAGGCATGAGCAAAGCGAAGGAGGTTCTATTTATGAGTCACGAGGGGAGGGCTGCCTTAACGTGTTGGATGACGCACACGAGTCCAACGCACGGTGTCGATCTCGTGCTTTTTCTGAGAGGAATTCTAGAAACAAACGCAAACGGCACGTGGAACCATAGGCGAAGAGATCTCTCGTTGATGAACTTTGACCCTAATGCTGTCTCCTTCACATAATCATGTGAAGGCGTGGACCACTTTGCCGCCAGACACCGGCCGTGTAATGTGCAAATTTGAAATTCTTTAAAAAAAAAAAACTGAAAATTACTAAATACTCATACTAAATAAAAAAATATCAATAACAATTTATTCTTATTTAGAAATTCAGTATTATTAAGTGTTAACACCTGATTTAAAATTTATTAATTTTCAACTTTTTTTTGACATTTTTCCAATTCTTAATCAGTAATTTTTGAATAATTTTTTTAATAAAAAATTAACCGTTAAAAGATAATTTTTATTTTAAATTTTGCACATGTTAAAATATTAAATGATAAAAAATATTAAGAAAATATATATTAAATCTAACCGTCTAACTTCCAATCTGGACGGTTCGAAATTAGATTGTAGAAATATAATACTCTTCTAGTAAACAAATAAATAAATAAAATCCACATGATAATACCTTTAGATGAACAATAATTTCTTTGATAAAATTAATGTTATCTTCATTTCAAATTTTTTAAATAATAAACCATTTAGGCAATCCAATTTTCTTTTGAAAAATCCTCTTATTGAAACAAAGTGATCCAAATTTTATGTAGTACTCCTTCTATTTTTAACATAAGACATGATTAACTAATTTGACTAGATTAAAAATATTAGTTGAATTAATTAATATGATATATTTTTTTCTAAAATACCCTAAGTATTTTTTTAATTATCTTCCTCCCTCTCTTACTTGATTATTGTTGAGAAAACATCAATAAAGTTAATTTAAAAAAATTGATAATTATATGAAATAGTTATTACATTTAAGACCAATGTTAACTTTTTAATTAGATGCTATATTAATGATAGGAGAAGTTTGTTTAGGTTTTTTCCTCTTCTCATAAAGAGAAAATATAATTAATGACTACGCAACATAATTAATGACTATGTGCAATACTCGATGCTCTTTTGATTCTTAGTATAAAGCCTATAATTAACTAATTTAAATAGATTAAGAATGTTAATTAAATTAGTTAATATAATATGTTTTTTTTTAAAATACCCTAAGCATCTTTCTTAATTTCTTTCCTTCATCTCCTACTTGATTATTATTGAAGTAATATCAATAAAGTTAATTAAAAAATTAATAAACCTATAAAATAGGTTTTATATATAACACTAACATTAACTCTTTAATTAACTCCTATTTTAAGAACAGAATAAAATTTGATAGGATACTACCATCCTTGTGCAACTGACAGATCAGCTCCAATTGTTTTCACTTTAATTTCTTAAACAACGTTTGGATGTCAAAATCTTTGGGAAAAATGACATTTAAAGACCTTTCAAAATTAAGTAATTTTTTTTACCAAGAAAATTAAGTAATTTGTCAATCCCAAGTTATTATAATGACAGTTTGAGTGAAGTATCAAGCTAAAACTCAACCTCGATACAATGACAGGTCATAAGATTAGTACTCCTCCACTTTAAAATATAGGATAAAATTTATTCATTTATATTCATTAAAAAATTAGTTGAAATCAGTTTAAAACAAGAAATATGTAAGACATATATATTTTTTTCCAAATATATTTTTATTAATAAAAAAATAAAAGATGCAATAAATGAATAAAAGAGAAAAGTGAATATATGAGGGGCAAAATTTAAAAGAAATTCATTAAATGCTTAAACAAAAATAAATATTATTTTATAAATAAAAAAAACCAAACCCTTCCAACAAAACTTATCTTATACTACCTCCAATCCTAATTATAAGAGCCAGCTGATTAATTAGAGAAGATTAAGAAAGTAAGTCGAGTTAGTTATTTGTTCTAAAGAAGTGTTGTCTTTCCTAAAATATCATTACTAATCAAGTGTATTGACTAGAACTATCATTGTTAAAAAGGCTACTTTGAGAAAAAATGTATAAATATGGGAGATAAAATGGATTGAGGTCTTATATTTAGGACCAAAATAAAAATCAAATAAGGTCTTATATTAAAGAGCGGAGGTAGTATTTTGAACTGTAGAAAATACTAAAAATGAATCACTCATGAGAGGTTTAATTCTATCCAAAGATCATCCTGATTCCTTTCTAAAAATTCAAAATTTTAAGATTTTTACATAAAATTAATATGTTAGAGGATCTTTAAATGTTATTCTCCAAAATCTTTACAAGTAAAAAAGTTTTATTGAATCCTCACCATCTAATGCCCCTTCTTCCTTGTTAAGATGGAAAAATCCTGTAGTACGGATCAATTGAGTACAATTTTTTACTTAGTGAGCCAGACCTGCCAACATGCATTGCACTAGAAAGATGGCGGGACCAACAAGCAATGCCATTAAGTCAAAATGCAGCGGGTGAGATTATTACATTTCATTAGGAGTGTTATTGGAAAGATAAAGTAATTTTTTTTTTCGTTGGCCAGAGAAAGATAAAGTAATTCCAAGAACATTAATTAACTTCCAATAATTATCTCAATCACTTGCCATGCATTAAATTTTAACTTCTGTTTGCTGGCATGGCATCAATAAGAATCTGATGAAAAAAATGCAGACTCAAGGGATTCACTTGCTACCAGCTTATTAGTTTAGGTACTTGGTTATAAAAATTCTAAAAGTATGAGGACTGAGTTAAAAATTGGGATAAATTGTAAGACTAAGAGATTATTATTTCCTTAATTTCACTCATATCTATCTCGTTATAAGCTAGAGTTTCTCATTTTCCTTGGATACAAAATCTACTTTAGCTGACACTAAAATTTAACCCCAACCATTACACTCGCCAAAACAGTCAACTGATGCTTAGCTCTTACACACTTCAGTCAAGAAGGACTGTAAACTACCAAATTTATGAAGCTCAACCAACAATAAGACGCAAATGATATATATATGTGTATATATATATAAAATATAGGGATTAATCAACCTTCAGCAGAATCTTGCATCATCTTGTGAAATTTGGAATTATGCAGAACTAGAGGCTTGGCTTCAATGTGTTGCCAATATCGATAACAAAACGATATTTGACATCTGCTTTGAGAAGACGCTCCATTGCAGTGTTCACATAATCCATAGGAATAACCTCAATGTCAGGTTTCACACTGTGTTCAGCAGCAAAATCGATCATTTCTTGCGTCTCCTTAATCCCTCCAATGGCACTTCCAGCTATTGTCTTTCTCCCTGCCAAAATATTCTAAAACTTCGTAAGCTTAAAAATTCTATTCCAATCTTTAAGCCGTCATATTAAGTTACTTCAAGTTGCGTGAGGCACTTTAATTACTCAAAACATTAATCTTGGGTTATATGTTAATTACCCGTCATTAAAGGGAAGACTGGCAACTCCAGAGGCTTCTCTGGTGCACCCAGCATTATAAGTTTCCCATGACGCTTCAACAAACCAATCAAAGGCAACAGAGGATGGGTGGCAGAAACTGTATCAATGATTCCATCAAAAGTGCCTAATACAGCCTAAGCACACACGAAAATAATAACTGTGAGTGATTAAAAAAGAATCATCTGATATTCATAGAACCATGCAATGAACAAGTTTCTAAGGGTGACACCTTTATTTCAGCTGGCTCAGTGCTGACCACAAAGGAGTCAGCTCCAAGATGTTCAATGGCCTCCTTCTTTTTGTTAGGAGATGTACTGACTACTGTAACCTTAGCCCCAAAAGCTTTAGCAAATTTGACAGCTAAATGACCAAGTCCACCAAGACCAACCACACCCACATGAAGGCCTGGCTTGTCCAGACCAAAGTACCTCAAAGGGCTATACACTGTGATCCCAGCACAAAGCAGAGGAGCCGCAGCATCAAGAGGTAAAGCATCTGGGATTCGAATCATGAAGTGTTCTTCTGCAACCATCAAGTCAGAATAGCCTCCATAGGTGATAGATCCATCCACGTACTTGGAACCGTACGTGAGAATCATTTTTGGGCAATAGTTCTCAAGATTCTCGGAGCAGCTTTGACAGGATCTGCAGGACCCAACCATGCATCCTACGCCAACCTTGTCTCCAACTTTGAATTTCTGTACCTTGCTTCCCACTTCTGTTACTATACCAACAATCTCGTGCCTGTACTTGGTACACCGATTAGAATCGGATGAATTTCACTGACGATGTTTCTAACAGATATATTCACAATTACTTCACTGACACTTCAAAATCTAGTTTTAAAACTTGTTCCTGATACATGAAAAGGACAGGGATCTACCAGACCTGTCCTGCTGGAGTATTTTATTCCATATTGAAAAAGAATTTTCAAATGAAGTTGGCGGATGCGTGGAATCTTAATTAAATTAAACACGGAAAGTTCAGCAGATGTGTAACGTAATCTATTGAGAAAAAAAAGAAAAAAAAGGAGAACGAATTGAAATTTGTTTTTTATAGACAGTCCTTGGATTGTTGCTGTCGGCGAAATCTGGATGAGTTTTTTAATCACCGGTGACGTTTAGAGGAAATGATTAACAGGATCGTATAAAAGAAAGCCGGGACAGAGCATACCCAGGAACAAGCGGATAGATCGAAATGCCCCATTCATTCTTGGACATGTGGAGGTCCGAATGGCATATTCCACAGTATAACACTTTGAATGCGACATCTCTCTCCCCGGTCTCTCTGCAAAACAAAGGTTCATATTAACAAAGCTCACCTAAAGTAATCAGCAAGTA